ATTCATATTATGTCTCACACAAAAAAGAACACTTCAGACTTAAGAGGTACTTTGGAAGGTTGCTTGATTGCATTTTACGTAATCAAATGTATTCGCCGACTACTGAGGGAATTGTATTATTAACCATATACACGTGTAATTTAGGTTCAAATTTGTATGTTATAATGCAATGTGTGCTTGTTTCACAATATTCGAATTAGTGTTAACATAGACATACAAAATGTTTTGTTGTAGTTGCATAATTTTATTTGTTGCGACTTTCATAATTTGACTGAATGTTTTATGAATGTTGAATAGTTTAGTATCTTTCCGTTGGTAAAATCGGTTAAGTGGATTAGGTGTAAAAGCGTAGCAAACAAACTCACTTTTACATTAACAGTATAAGTGTAGAAGTATGCAAGTATGGATGTATAGATGTACCTGGTATTTTGCCGAGTTTTATGTTTAAACAGTTTAGAATGGTTCCTTTGGTGGCTGATCCGCAAACTGACGCTTTCGTTTGAATTAAAACGGGAGAAAGAAAGAAGGTACAAGAGATATTGGCGTAAGGTGAACGCATAGGTCAGATGTTCGTTAGGAACTCAGACAGTAAAGATTTCAAAGAACGACATACTAAATAGAAGTAGTATAGTTAGATTGCAGGAGATATTTGGTCTTTCTATATATGTTCAAATAAGCTAGGCTATATAAAAAATAACAGAGGTCGTTTTGAATATAGCTAAGACTAAATGTGTAGGCGCTCGCAACAACTATTATGACTGTCTAAATATAACATCAAACAAATCATCTTCGAAAGATTATGGGGATAAATCCGATTTGTATAAAGACTAGACTTTTAGTCTCCTATTAATACCTAACTTTAAAAAAAAAGCGGTCAGGTGCGAGTCGAACTCGTGCGCCGAGGATTCCGTACCTACCCAGATTTTACCCCATATCAACAATTTTTAACATTCCACTCCTAGACAAAAGCCTCAAAGGTCTTAAATTTCGTGATTATAGTCAACGGGAACTTCCATATAGGTTTCGACCCAAAATCTAGAGGGTACTGCCGGTTGACCTAGAATTGAAAAAAGAACACAGCACAAGTAAAGAGAAAATTCGAAGGTAAATTTTGGTACTTACAAGTTTTCCCGAAAATCTGAATGTGCCCATATCTTTTTATGGTGTTGACTTAGGACCTTGATTTTAATACACCTAATAGGGACAATAGACCTCAAAGTCTGGTATAAATTTCAACTTGTTGGGTAAACCCGTTCATGAGAAAATCGGTGGTGACACACGGACAGACAGACGGATAAGAGAGTAATCTTATAAGGGTTCCGTTTTTACTTTTTGAGGTATGGAACCCTAAAAAGTATCACTGAATGAGCATACCTTATGGTCAATTGTGATAAATTGTATTCTTTGTTTTTAATAATAATTTTCCATCCTTAAAGGTAGTTTTTTTTTTCAAATTTGAAATGAACTAAATAGGAAGTATAACCCTACCAAATAATTTACACAAATAAATCAAACCGAAGTGTCTGTTTGTGATGTCAAACTAATAGATTTTTTTCATGCTCACAAGGCTACAAACCAGTTTAATAATTTTTGTCTGTCTGTCTGTTTGTTCCGGGTAATCTTCTAAACGGCTGTACCGATTTTGATACGATTTTACTGACAGATAGCTGTCTATATAAGGCTACTTAGGCTATTTTTCCTCTCAGAAAAACCCAATAAAATTTAGCCCGGTCTGGAAATCGAACCAACTAAGCCAGCTAGTACCAGCTAGTGTATAATATGTATCTATTTAAAAAAAAAGAAGTATATAAGGACTCGTATTCTATCTGTCATAGTACAAGCTTTGCCTTGTTTGAAACCAGATGGAATTGTGTTTCACCGAAACATTATTATTATTAAATAAAAATAGATTTTTTCAAATCAATTTACAAATGACGGAGTACGAACAATATACCTATCCGAATTTAGAACTCCCCTCTTGTATAAAGTCAGCTAAAACGATAAAAAATAATAACAAACACAGTTTTGGGTAATGCTAATACTAAAGTCAAAGGCAATGCAAAACAATTATGGTTAAAACCCATCATCAACAGCCTTTAACAGTCCACTGCTGGACATAGGCCTCTCCTTAAAAAAGAGGTTTTGGCCTACTATACCACGCTGGCCAGACGGGTTGGTATAGAGTTTGTTTCAAGTTTTCCATGTTTTTGCGGTGCTGTTGTTTTACACAGTTTGCTCCCTTAGTCGGCTCTTACGACACCCACGGGATCAATGGGGGTGGTGACAATCCGTATTTTTAATCCGTCACCACACGGACATTAACACCCATATTAACCCAAAATGAACACCGGTTAAAACCTACATTTTCCTATTCTGCATTTCGATTTATACTTACAGTGACAATGAAAATTCTTGTAGTACGTAATCATTAGGCGTATAAACTAAGACAGTATCGTAAACTAGTAGACCCTTTAAATTTACTTTAGTAAACTTAAAATCTGTTTCTTATTTAAAATCGATTGACTACTTTAACAGTTGTAAGTAATAACTTAACCTCACACATGGTTGTCTGATCCTAAACCAGGCAGACTTTGTACTATGGTTACCAGACTATTGATAAGCAACCTTAAATATTTCTAAATACCTACATATTAAAGATAAATTACACCCATACACAGAACTATTGATTATACTCACCACACAATGATTTGTCCTGGGTGGGAATCGAATCCACGATCTCTGGTTATCAATCAGCATCTCTAACAACAATACTAGCAGTCTAGTCAAATAAGCAAATTAAATTTCTCAAAAGATAATAAAACAAGGTAATAAATCTGTTATTTTTTTTTATTTCAATATCTTATCTCAAAAGAAACTTAAACCTAAATTGTTAAAATTATAGATATCACATTTTGTTTTTAATTTTTTAACACTAAATTTACATATACAGGTTATGTGTATTTAATTGTACTCAATTTATCTTAATCACATGATTGACATTTATACATTGTACAGGTCTGTGCCCTACACTTAAGTGTTTTTCCATGTTCCCTATTCATCCATGAGGAAATCTGTATTAGGGCGAAAGGTATTTGGAATTCATTCATTTAACATTCCTAATGTGAAAAGTAAATAAAATATTATTGATTTCAGTAGTGCTTAGAAAAACCTGGTACTGAAGCAACATTATTGTGCTATAATTCAATCGAGATACCACAGAACATTATATATATACTTGCACAAATTCATGTCTTTAATGAATCACTCAGGGAAGGTTTTACTCTAAAAATATGTCATCGGTTTTTAAATAATCTAATTATAACTATTCACGTGCACATAAAACACTCAGAAACTCAATAAGACTTAATGTAGTTAAAAAAATCTCATTATTCGGGTAGTCATAAATAAGACCAAATATGGCATTTTTAACAATTCCTTAAATTATTGTAACCTATTGGTAACTACACAATTTTATGTAGCATCACTGTGATATTATCAGTATATACATAAAAATATCAAATATACGTTGTGAAATAGCATCGGTAACGTCTGAAGATGAAAAAGAAAAACTAATATAAATAAGACTATTAAATTGAAAATAAGTCATTTGCAAATTGATCTTCTTAAATACAACAAAAAGGAAATATAAGATCTTCTGGAATTTGGTCATTGTAATGGTCTGGAAATTCCAATTTGTGAATTTAATGAGCCCGGTCGGCTTAGCGTCTTATCAAAACTTCAAGAAAGCGATCTTACACAATCTTATTATAAATTAAAACCCTATAAAGTGATATTATTTGATTATTTTTCCTTTTAATGTTTTTATTTATATCTGATCTCGAGTTTATAAAATATTAATATTATAATTTATTTAAAAAAATGTAGTTAGTAATACTAGAAAGAGCAAATTATTAGTGTAGCTTACAGCACTTTTTTTATTGAAGGTGTTTTAGCTGTCACGCTTCAAATTACGAATCCAATTTGATTTTCACACAAATTTAAGTTAGAAGACAATAATTAATATAGAAATCAGACACATAAAAAAAATTTAAATTCACTATTATAAATACTATGACAAATTTAATAGTATTTTAATTATTAAAGGAGAATACTCATTGGAATAATAACTAAGTGTATCTAAACATCAGTAATTGAAAATAAATAAAATAAGTGAATATTGTCATAACAGAAAAGGCAAGATGATTTTTTATAATAATAAAATATATGAAAACAATATAACACAAACGTAGTGTAGGACGCCCACGGGCCAGGGCCTCAATTCTGCTATTTTATGTTAACGCCAAGACACTGTCATTCCATTGACACGCTATTGAGATTCCATTGATATCGGTCAAAATATCGGTATTCTACTAACATCAATAGACTGTTGGTGTAGTCAGGTCATAGGTCATCAATGGTGATATCAACAACATTACCATTTCTGGAAAATGAAATATATAATTTTCTTACAAATTTAAAATGTACGGTTTACTAAACTATTACAAAGACATCGACGACATTTGTATCAGTGACAAGTCATCGAGAGGCCATTGGTCTTACATAGTTAGTAGAATAAGAAAAGTGCAAAACTATTCCAACGACATTCCATCGACAGTCTATTGATACAATATTAAAGTAGCAGAATTGAGGCCCTGGTGGAGTGACGATTTGCGCAAGATGGCTGGCTGGAGCTGGATGCGTGAAAATCGATCGAAGTGGCGTGCAATAGGAGAGGCCTATGTCCAGCAATGAACTGCGATAGGCTGACGATGAAAACAATTTAGTGATCCAAGTCGAGTCTTTTTAATAATCTTTACGTAATTATAAATCACAACCTAATTAGCGAGTTTATAGTCCATAAGACTTTTTATATAATTACAACAACTACTTTAATGTTCAATCATTTTAAGGCTCAATATTTTAGATTTAAACTGAGTTTGTTCAGACTGTAAATCACTTCTACCTGAAATGTCATGGTTCAACTTCTATTTACTGAGAATCTAAATCGGATATGTCATATTGGAAGGAATACTTGTCACATTTGCTATTGTTTCATAAGCAGCCTCAGATTTCCTTAATTTTATAATCATATCATTGATAGACACATAACAGCCTGAAAAGAGAGCCAGCAAGGAAATCGTTCCAATTATAATATTTTTAAAAAGAATGTAGTTGAAGGGTCCGAGGCCTTTTTCCCATTTGTGGACAGTGTCAACGATGGCAGGTGTGAGGAGACCCAGACTTGAGAGGAAGATAGCACCGCAGAGACTGACGAACAACTCTAAGTCGGGATAAGCTGCTGCAAGGGCCACTGTTGAGAGAAAGCCAGGCGTTAGTAGAATAAAAACAGTTTTATTTATTTATTTACAACTTTATGTACTTGGGAGGACTTAATGCTATGGGCCTTGTTTACCAGCTAACCTTTGGGATGTGTAGAAATCTGGTAAATAGAAAATAAACTATTATTGTTAAGCTGAGATATATTTTATGTATAAGGACTTTTGTTTATTTTATGTTCTAGATTTTTCAGTAGTTAGTTCAGTAAGAAAATGTCTGCACAAGTCTTTTTTTTAAGTTAGGGGAAGCCTTACGCTCATAACTCTCTTTTATTATAACGCTTTCCGTGGCAACCTGTAATTGAGGCAGCACTAATGCTTGTATATCACTGCCATTGTATCTCTTGCTTTAAAGGTGTATGTTCTTGTTGGTTGTCCAAATAAAAAGTATAAAATAAAATAAAATAGGCCTCTTCTTAGAATGGGTCGTCGTCAAAATAAAATTATATATAGAATCTATCCCTTGGCAATAAATTGATATTGTTTAACGCAAACTCAAATATAGCTTGTATAAACACGTAGTAGAAAAGATAAAAAGTAAAACTCGAAATAAATACCCTAGGGATCTGAGTCAACAAAATGTTAATGTATAGAGGTAGGCCACTTATGTAAAATAAATATGTAAGTATATATTTGTGAATTCAAATTGATTTTATTTCTCTAACCGACGTGGTTAGCTGTTGTCTTGAATGGACTCAAAAGAATGGCAGAGTACTATTCGGCGAGTGGCAATTTTATATGGCGTTTTAACACTTTTGGATTTTTGCTTAAGTGCTCTACTATGTAAGTGTATTTAAGAAGTTTCAATCCAATTTTAGGGTTCCGTACCTCAAAAGGTAAAAAAGGAACCCTTACAAGATCACTCACTTCACCGTCTGTCTGTCCGTACGTCACCATCGATTGTCTCAGGAACGGCTGACCTAGCAAGTTGAAATTTCCCCATCATAGTCATAAAAATAGTCATAAAAATCAAGGTCCTGAGTCAACACAATAAAGTAAAGTCCAGGTCAACCGGAAGTACCCTATAGGATTTGGGTCGAAAACATATATGTTAGTTCCCGTTGACCTAGAATCACGAAATTTGTCAAGTAAATATAAACGATATGGAAAAACCTTAAAACTATACATTTGTAATTAAATTATAAAAAAACAGGGTCTTTACGCAAGGAACGGTGGTCTAAATTTTGAATTGAGTTAACCGCTTAAACAGATTTTTTATTATTTTTATGATGTACAGTTTTCGATTGTAAATTTGTACGGAACCCTTGGTCGGCGAGTCCGACTCGCACTGGTCCGGTTTTTCTTATGAAATCTTACCCGATCCAACAACAATGGCACTCCTGATTAAAATCTGTGCGATGTTCTGGTATCTCACTGAAATTTTCATATTCACCCGCCGCCATATCATCTCCATTGGAACATAAAACTGTAGGCTGTAGGTAAATAGGATTGCTAGGGCCATCAGGATCTTAGCGCTTTGGGCCAGACTGAAATGAAAAGGAAAATAAACTATAAGAAATAAAGTATTTATACTTAATATTTATGCATTAAAATAGGAAATATTGCTCTAGTATAATAAAGCTAAAGAGATCTTTGTTTCTGCTTCTCTTCCATAATTTTTGGAATTGTCAGTCAGATTTTAATTTTTTATTTTATATTGGAAAAAACTTATAAATTTTGGCTGTTTTTGCAACATTTTATCGTGATTTTATATAGCCTTCCTCGATAAATAGGTTATCCAACACCAATAGGATTTTCAATTCAAACCATTAGTTCCTGAGATTAGTGAATTCAACCAAACTAACTCTTTACTTTCATAATATTAGTAGAAATATAGCATTTATTGGGTAATAGTATAGACTTTAAAATATCACGCCACAAGACTTAGTAGCGAAGCAGGGACCATATGCAAGTAATACTGCGGGGAAACGTGTCTCAGCTGTTAAATTCTCTTGGGACTTGGAATGAATGTATGGCTGTCTAGAAGAAATGAAATATCTAGCAGTTAGCACAAAAAATGTTATCTGTTCATATATTTTATCTTATATTATAGAGATACTTTATCTCTTTTACTATAACAGTAAAAAATATTTATTTCTATAGGGTAAGTTATAGATCGATAATATATTATTAACTGTGATGGTTATTTTATGCAGTAGTAGAAGCCGTCCAGAATTCATATTTCGCGTATTGGTTTAAGCGGTAGTCACGCCGCTTCATACTGCGCTTAGTTTTGTGGGTTCGATCCCAACATGAGACAATACTTTGTGTGATCCACAAATTGCTGTTTTGAGTCTGGGTGTTTGCTGTTTCCTGTATGGCTGTAAAATCCCAACACAGGATATATTCCTAATGCGGGCATTGTCTTTTTAATGAATATGAAATGTAAAATTTACTTGTTTTGATAACAAGATAATAGAATTAAGACGATTTTGGTCTAGTGTCTATTTGACGGCCTCAAAATACTAATAAAAGGAGACTCTAACACCTACGTGAGAGGTCACTACAACCTTGATCAAGGACGTAGTTGCATTAAAACAGACAAGATAATGTTATAATAAAACTTTTAAAGAGCGACTCGAAGCGTCTATAGCCCAAACATCTCCGATCAGCTCGTTAGCGTTATGTAGAGATGTGGCTTCACTCTGCCTTCTCTATTCTCTATCATGGGGAGTGCTCTAAGAAATTGTTCGGACTATTCATCCATCCATCGTTTTCACACACGGCAAAGTTTTCATCCTCATCACCTGGATAGTTGACGCTCCACTTCTGTGCGCTTTTCGATCTTGTATTATTTACCATCTGCGGTATTTCCGGATCGATACTACCTTTAAATCTTTAAGAAAAGAGCATACTAATTCCTAAAAGGCCAGCAACGCGTTTGTGACTCCTGAGTTGCAGACGTTCATGGGCGGCGATGATCACTTTCCGTCAGATGACCCGTGTGCTCGTCTGCCCCCTCTAACATAAAAAAAAAAACAAAAAAATAATAGAATCAAATCAAATTACACTATTCTCAATACTTACATATCCTTCTCAGGAAGATTTAAGGTGACACTTGTTTTGACACTGTCTCCAAACTTCATGTAACCGAAGAAGCCTACTACGCCATATATTATAACAACAATTGTCATAGCAACGTTCAGAACGCCAGGGCAGCCAAGGAACTTCTGAGGTTTAGCCATTTCGTTTTCAACTGGCATCACCACGCCAATGCCTTCCATGGCGAATATGACAGTACTGGAAACAAATATACGGCATTACACATAGTTCTCATTAAATAAATTTAAGAAAAGTGTGGAAAAATATTTTTAGCTCTAGAAAGCTTTAGTCCACTCAGGTCAAATCCACATAACAAATTTAAAAGTTAATAATAAAACTAAAAGAAACAGGATCTTTCTCATATCTCACGTTTATGTTATTAATATTTTAATTTTCATACCTCATTTGTCAATCTTTTTCTTTTCATCAAAAAACATCATCAAAAAAATTATCATTAATTCGAGAAGCGAAAAGACACGTGTGCTTAGTTTGATAAGCAGTAATTAAAGTAACTAATGGTAGAATCTGGTAATTAACAGTCTTATTTATATATATATATATTTTTCTATAATATAATAATTATCTAAGTTTTATTCTTAAGTTTTTAATTTGTTATGAGGTTTTGATAATGAAATTTTATTAATTAGCCAGCACAGCATTTACAAAACTTGTGTTTTTGCCTATTAGTTCAGTAGTTCGTGTGTCACGTACACGTACGTACGTACGTACGTACTTAAACTAAACAACTGTTTACTGAACATAATCATTTCCCAGTGTCTGTAGTCTGTGTAGTCGGTGCTTACAAAACAAAAGCATCAGCTGTTAAACTTTTATGTTTCAAGCCGTATGACTCAGTCAGTGAGGTCAGGTAATCTTATACGTTATAGAATACAGCCAGGCACATAGCGAATCATAGATTTTTTTTTTTGGATAGAAATAGCACAGGTTATGTCTAGTTTGTGGGTAAAATATATCAAGTTATTATTTGTACAATTATTGATGAAACAATAACCATTAGAGGTTTGTGAAATCAAAATGGCAGACTTAAATTTAAATTTCATATCAAATGTTGTGTTTCTATTTATTTGTGCAAAGATTACTTAAAATATTTTCATTATTGTCATGATATTCAAATAAAACAATCAAAAAAATTAATCACTATAACATAGATACTAGTTTTATTTCAATATTCTTCTATTCTCTCTTAATTGGGTATAACATTTTCAAATAAATCAGATGTTTTAGATTAGAAAAGTTATATTCCAAAGCTCAGCAGACCCTTTGAAACACTGATTTAATACATTTCTATTTAACTAGTTTAAATAGTTTTAGGACCCAAGTTCGATTAATCGCGAATAGCTATGAACACAAATGTGTTCTAAATCAGTTGAACATGTGTCTAGTTTTGTCGATGGAATCTAATCATACTTATTAATCACTAGAAAAAAAAACAGCTTGTTAAACGGACTTCAAAAAAATAAGCAAGTTCTCCATTGGAATGTATTTTGTTGTTAGTTACTTCAGAACTCCATTTCTTTTGTCATTTATAAATTGATGTGGCAAATTCTTATCTTGTTTGGGTATATTTCCCGTTGATGAGATGAAATGATTTCTCATGCTTCATCGTGATGGAGTCGTATTGAAGTCGGTTACACTTTCACAAAAGTTAGTTATGTTTAATCAATGATGTTATATACAAACAAGAGGCAGATACGCCAACAACGAATAAAACACAATGGTCCTAATTAGGACTACTGCAAGTTTTGCTTACTAATTAATTCGAGAAAATTCATAAAATATCTTCCTGTGTATTGCGAAAGTGCACAAATTACGACATAAAGGTAAAGGAATGTCATACTACATTTAAGTATATGTTTTGTTCTAAATTGCATTATTAGATGTATCTACGGTTACGGAACAAATATTTTGTGAGTGCAGTATGAATATAACATATCTTCCTTTAAATATCATTGCGAGAAGCCAAAAATCGATCTAAGTGATGTGGGAGAGACATATGTCCAGCAGTTGACTGCGATGGGCTGATGATGATGATGATGATGATGATAAAAGTGACAAGCCACAATGAAGACACAAAGTATGATCAAATTTTAAATTTTATGTTATCAAAGACACATTCGAAATATGTCAACAGAATTCGGTAGTCATATAATTAAAATATCATAATATTACCATGCAGGGAAGTATTAACTTCATGAAATAAATGTTGTATATTTTTGGATAGATGTTTATGTGTATCAAAAATTATTTCAAATGTTTACGACTAAAGTAACTTTTATATTTACTTCATTTGTTTTTTTTTTGTTTAATCACAACTCCCGCGTTAGGAATATATTCCTGTCTAGCGAGGGACTTGACAAGCATACATAAAACGGACACAAAGAACACCCAGACTCAGAATAACAATTCGTGTATCACAAAAAGTGTTGTCCTATGTGGGGATTAAACCCACAACACTCAGCGCAGTAGGAAGCGGCGAGGTGACTGATTAAAATACTACGCCATCCGTGCGGTCAACTTAGAAACAAGCTCCAACAAATACTTAAACCGATAAAATTAGAGATTAGATTACCTCTCTAAGTGTATTTTATTTGATGTCAGATACAAAAGAAAACATTCTCCGGGCAGTAAGTTTGCCATAAAGAACTTCAAATATTCAGCTTTTAGCATCATTCTAAAAGCCCTATTTTAGCCTTAGTTCGGGGCTACTGGCCCCACATGAATTTGGGCTCTATTTAAAAATGATTTTGAAGTGAAAACTTGTTATGGGAGGGTAAACCGTTTGGTTACGTAACGCGTTACGGCGCCAGTTTGTCTGGATTCACTTTCACGGCAGCGGTAGGCAGGCTCCTCCTCTCTCACTCTAACCCACAGTGCTGGCCGTATTTCAGTCAAACGCTTTACATAAAATTTAAGTAACAACCTAAGCTTTTCTCAAGTTAAACTATTTCAATATTAAATAGTTCAGCTTAGATTAGATTAAGTTATCACTTCTGTCGGGCGTCCCGAGACGCAATCGTTATTTTTTTATCAGTTCTAAACTGTACTGTGCCTTTTACCTGTATATAGACTTTATATAGGTAAAAGATACTTTGTATACTTTTGACTGCCTCGTTGATACAGTAGGTAGCGTATGTGACTGCTGTGCTGAGGTCTCGGGTTCGATTAGCGGGTCAGACCAAATGTTTGTATGATCTACAAATATTTGTTTCGGAATTTGGGTATTTTCTATGAATAATACATAGGTATTAAAAATATATATATAATTATTCTATCAGTCAAGCTAGCTTTCATAGTACAAGCTCTGCTTAGTTTGAAACTAGATGGCGTTGTGTGTTAGATTTCCGAAATATTTATTATTATTTACATTTCTTTATTATTTCTGGAAACTACTGATTTCTTGAAAAGTTTAATATTAATATAATTACTTTATGCTTTAGTGGTCCCTTTAGGGTCAAGGCTTTTGGGCATATGACCCGCTTTCCCAGCATCATTAAGTACTAATCATTCTCAATTTTAATTTACAGGTTCTTAAGCCATTGACGCAATATGAAGTTTAATCATCCTAAAAGGCCGGCAACGCGTTTGTGACTCCTGAGTTTCAGACGTTCATGGGCGGCAATGGTCACTTTCCATCAGGTGACCCGTCGGCTCGTCTGCCCCCTTTGATATAAAAAAAAACAGTTAAATAACGAACGACTTACCTAATAAATATTGGCCACTGAGTAACTTTAGCGGCAATCTCTCTCTCCTGAGGATGCGGCAAATCACTGAAGATATAGTACAATGTGATGGCAAAGCACACTACAAGACATATATTGGCTATAGCTGAGAATGGAACCAGCCACTTCAAGTTTCGGATTTGACACATTAGCACTAAAGGTACCAATGTTAGCGCGCAATAGACACCACGTGATAGGTCGTATCCATATGTGTATTCTTTTAGTGCCTGAAAAGTGAAAAATTGAAAGATATTCAAATACTGCAATAGTGTTATTGTTTTGTAAGGTACAGTGGGGTAGGGTAGAGTGCGGTGGGGTAAGATAGGGTAGAATAGGGTAAAGTCAATTACTTTTATAAATGCAGTCAGTCCTGACATTACATATAAGCTAATTGAAGAGACTTATCTAAATAGCTCTCGTAATTAGTAATATTAATAAAGTATATACAGAAAGCTCATATTTTTTATTATCATAGTTATAATTTTCCCCTTTTAATAAGAGGGTAGAAGAAAACCTTTATTAATTAAAAAAAAATGAAAATAAAAAAACAATATCATTTAATCGAAAACTTTTTCAGAATAAAACCTAGGCTTTATATTTTTTTTTAAAGTAAGTGAACTAAAGACAGATATTTACCTCTTCCAAATTTGCCGCAATAAACACCACATACACACAAAGTGTTGCCAAGTAAGTGCAAGTCATTGTATAGTCCACACACGTTCTGTAATCGTTAATTGATATTATAATGCAGACTATAAATAGGTATACCATACATTAAAATGTTATATATTCTGTGGATATAAGTAACACAGTTTAAAAATACCACTAAAAAGTTTTCTAGATCAAATAAAATATATTTTTATTATTAATCTAAATAACTATTAAGAACGTAACTGGAAAATTATTTTTCTTAAATGTTTTTGCAATTTTACGTAAATGAACATTAAAAGTAAAATTATAATCAGACTATTTATATTAATTTAATGTTAAATCGTAGGCACATCATAATTCTGCTTAAATTACAGCTTAAAAAAAGGTTTTTTTTTTATCAATGAAATAAGCAAGTGTTTTTCTGCTGAACTTTGAGAATATTCTTATTATTGTTTAAAATAATATTATCTTTAAGTGACCTACCTTGCAAAATTTGCCCACGGTCTTAATCTTTTAGGTCCATATTCAAATACAGCACCACAAGTTTCTGCAAAACCCATCGAAGGTTTCTTAGCTTCCACGCATACTTCTTGTGACGTTTTCACCTGATTGGAAAAATTATAAATATTAGAAAAGCTTTTGCCCACATGTTCTTCAATGGATATTTTATCGAGCTCTCGATAGATTCACTTCTTGTGCTCTCGATGTAGTAGTACTCGTACTCGTAAAAACTAGTATGCAAAATTGTATGACTATCGATTTAAAATTTTGGTTTTTGTATGTTACGGTAGGGCCATGCTTGCAATGAGTGAAAAGCCGGTTTTTTGTGAGGCCGTGGTATCACTCTGGTAGAGTCGGCCCATTTGCGCTGAACGATATCTCTCAAAGTTAATTAAAGTTAATGCAATGAATATTATTATTACTAGAGTTTAACATTAAATTTATAAGTGAAGTAGGAACAGCTAGATGACGATAGATAATTTTACTAGTGAAAATATTTCCTCATATTGGGTAATGTTCTCGGCAAAAATTCCGTCCAGGCTTGGCCAATTATTTATCGATAACATTAAAAGGTAAATTAATAATACAATACTTGAATTACCCATTAAAGGAATAATATTACACTTTATTGAGCAAAGATTCGGCTTTCTTTTATTAAAATACATAATAATATAGTTAAGAAATAATAGACAACACAATTATTTAGATTTAGAGTCCTAAAAAGAAACATTTATAGTTTTGTCATGTTCGTCTGTCTGTCCGTTTATTTAACTTGAACTTAGAGTGTTACTTAAAATTTAAAATTTACGTTTTAATCAACATTTTATACTTTACTTTCATTTTTACATCAATTAACAATTCAACACAACTTTAATCTGTGAAATTTATAAAAAGTCGAATACATTGCGTATAAAGTTTTAATATTTGTCATATTATTTTTTATATTAATTATTTACATTAAAAATCTATTAACAAGAAACGGATAAAGATATATTTGGATTCAAACCGTGTGCATTAAAAAATCTAAGTCATTACTCACACTCTTTCACCGACTACAAATAAAATGGTTTCGATTCCATTGAATTGCCATTTCCATTGAAATAATTCTACGACCAATAAATATGGCTAACTACAATTTAACGCGATTTGAGCGTATCGAGCGTAGGTGCTACGTTTTTAAATCTACAGTTACTAAAACCAACCATTATGGTCCAAATACCTATTTTTCCACTTTAGAAATGAAGGGAATTTGGTTACTAAACTCTTAACTCTTGCATTTTATTTACTGAATAAATTTGTATTTAATCCAAGACTTACTAAAGTTTACCGAACGTCGTGTTCTATATTTACATGGTTTAGTCTTTACACATTCTACAGTTCTACTGGATATGGATGCTAAAGAGAAAATGTCTGCTTAACGTTTTGACTATTTATAATTCATTGAACAATGATTGAATACAGAACAACCCACGTGAAACACATACTAATATTTTCCTGATTCACTCCAGTTAAATTAGTCCAAATAGATAATACTGTCAATGAATAAAAATAGATAACAATGATTTAGAGCCTTATATAACATTTCAAGTTCAAGTTGAAACTTATGGTTCTGACATGCCCAAATGTTACATGAAGTTCTAGAAGTTGCCGGAGGGGTCTCGAGTCAGTAGGATTGTTATGAAATTTTAGGGAATGTTCACGAAAATTCTTTAACTTTGTATGAGATAAGTTAAGTTTATATGTACTTGCTGTGTTGCGGTGTAGATTTGTTAAAGTTTAGCGATAAAGTGAGTGAATAAGTGCCAGAAACGGGAAACTGTTCAAGAGGGAATATCAGAAAGAATTGATTAATGGCGGATAATTTTTTTTTTTTTAAACAATTGCCGTTTCAGATATATATATCCTGTGTCTGGGACTTTACAAACATACATGAAACGGACACAAAGAATACCCAGACTCAGAACAACAATTTGTGGATCACACAAATTGTCGTCCTACGTGGGGATCGAACCCACAACACTTAGCGTAGTACCGTAGTAACCACTACGCCATCCGTGCAGTCTATAGGTAGTAATCAGTATAATTAGTACTGATATAGTCATGAACCTCGGTTATTGATGAAATGTTTAACTATTTCAATAATAAAACAATGGATAGATAATCTATTTACAAAGCACAATACATCTTATTTGTATTATCTCATATCTTCCAAGAATATTAATAAATGGTGTAAACAAAGTATTTATAGTTTGTACACATATTGTAAATCAATAGTCACGACTGAATGATTAAATTACGTTATCTCTTTGACTCGATACAGAATAAACCATGTCACAGGCTTGGCCTTGCACCAAGCTTCCTTAATATGTAGATTTCTTAGCAATCGTGAGGATACTTGAGCGGTGTTATTTATTTATTGATGATGTTGAGACAAAAATGTAGTTGTCCAAATGTAGTATCCATAAATATACTTACTTCGTTAATATGTACTTTCTAAAAATATGATTTTTAAAAAGAAGATATTAAAATATGATTGTTATTAACACTGAGGTAAATATATATATATATATATATATATATATATATATGTCTTAACATGCCTAAAATTAAACTACAACATAATTTGTGATGAGTAAAAACGTGCATGAAATTTTTAATTTTCATTGTAAAAAGTACCTAAATACAATTCTAGTTTTAGTATTTAATTAATGTTTAAGCAACTTAAATATTGTTATTAATAGTACGCGCTAAAAGCGGTTATAAGCTTCCTTTTAACAAAACAAGATTAAAGAAAGATCTTGATGCAGGTGTGTATATGTCAAGGTTTCAATTCGCAAGGTTACTTCACTTGCGAGTGTGCAAAATGTTTTAATTTATATGTTGTTCGCGTGGAATTTGAAGAGCGCTGCCTTAGTGGGTTCGATTCGCGGATCGGGCAAAATCGGGCGCTCACCGCAAAAAAGATACCGTTTGTCTTATCGCCTCGGTTCGAGAGCACCTCCCTAACTGCCTCAGCCATTTTCGGAATCCTAGGCATCGACATCTCGAGCAAAGTCCAGTTGCGCGGTCATTTGGAGGGTTAGGTCAAATTGGCCTCGAAGAAGCTCGGTGTGCTGAACAGATCGACGCAGTATTTCACTCCAGCCCATCGCCTTCAACTCTATAAGGCGCAAGTTCCACCGCATGTGAAATACTGTTCTCATCTCTACGCATGGGCACCTCAGTACCAACTTTGACTCCTGAGTTGCAGGCGTTCATGGGCAGCGGTACTCGCTTTTCATCAGTCTTCTTTCATCCGTCTGTTCGTTTGCCCCCTATTCCATAAAAAGAATAAAAATTATACTGTTTTCTGAGATAGCCTAAGTGTCTCCTTATATAGACAGGTACCTGGTAGTAAAATATTATCAAAATCGGTTCTGCCGTTTTGAAGATTACCCGGAACAAACAGACAAACTAAAATATCTAAACTGGTTTTTAGGCATTAGTATAGTGCAAATAACCATGTGAGCATGAAAAAAATCTATTATTTTGACATTACAAACAGACACTTCACTTTTCTTTATTTGTATTAATTATATATCAAATGATTACTATCATCAGACCTGCCGTCCTGTGTGGTCTGAAAGTTGGCCCATTTACAGAACGGATGAGAGACACCTGAACGTAGACGAAATGCGAATGCTGAGATGGATGTGTGGTGTGACTCGAATGGACAAGGTTAGGAATGAGTACAAGTCGGAAAGCAGCGCCACTGGATGAAAAGTTAAGAAGTAATAGGTTCTCTTGGTATGGACATGTCATGCGGAAGGATGAGGAAAATATGGTGAAGAAAGTTATAGGTATGGGAGTTGAAGGGTACAAGAGAAGAGGAAGACCAAAGAAAAGGTGGATGGACTTTTTTTTATTGGGACTAATCCCGCCCACACGCCAACCACTGTAAGTCCTGTACACCAGGATCCACAGCAGTGACCCACGAACACACCGAGTTATGACACTCGGGAAGTCCCAGGAAGAAATTAAACTGTCTTGGAACCCGCAACGAAATTAATCAGAAGAAAATTGGAGGAGTTGGAAATACAGTAAATCAACTTCCCTCCTTAGCAAAGCGGGAGACAAAATGAAGTAAAATGGGCATACACCCTTTTAAACAGGGATGTCACCTGCAAGGTATTCAGCATTATATTACGTTCATTATACCAAAGACTACATTCCCAGAGGATATGATGAGCAGACTGTTCATAGTGAGAGTTAGGTGTTGAGCATTGACACAATGGTGACTCGACTAATTTAAATGAATAAAGCTTGCACTTAAAGTTACCATGACCCGTAAGAAATTGAGCGACACAGTGATCCACCTCAAGCCATGTCCTCGACAACCGTTCGCGAACAGATGGAAAGAATTGGTAAAGATGGCGCCCCTTGGATGATTCATCCCAGCGTTGTTGCCATTCGTCTATGAGGTCATTATAGACATCGGACTGCTGTTGAAGCAATCTTGTAATTTTACCGCGATCCCGTGCGTCAAAAAAATCACATTCCATGTTTTGTTGTCTTGAATAGTACATGGTGGATGGACTGCGTGAGTGAGGATATGGCTAGGAAGGGTGCAGACGGTGAATAGACGAATGATAGAGTAGAATGGAAGAATCATACTGTGCTGACCCCAAATAAAATTGGGATAAGGGTAGGCAGATGATGATGATATATCAAATGATTGAAATGAGCAGTAATGTAATTAAATTTACTGATTTATTTTAACCATCTGGTGTTTTAAAAGTTATAGTGTTAGTTTTATTTTTGTTTTCTTCTTAGTATGCTTAAAAACCATTTGTAAACAGCCTGCTATAGTTTGCTCTAAATAATATTATCTAGTCTGTTTGTACTATGGTAACCGGACTGCTAATAAACAAACTAAGATATTTCAAAATTCCTATATCCATGCTAATATTATAAATGAGAAAGTGTGTGGGGTGTGGAAGTTTGTATGGGAAATCAATAACCGCTAAACCGATTTAGATGAAATTTGGTATATAGGTAATTTAATTATCAGATTAATAGGGAGAGTAAGGACGTAGGCATCTTTTTTGCCGCAATAACCTAAATGTAAAAGCTTCTATTACAGATAAATTCCGTCTAGAAACTGAGCAAAAGATTGTGTTCATCACACAAGATTTGTCCCGGTCGGCATTGAATCCATAACATCTAGCTAAGTAGTTAGAAAAGCTAACCACTAAACTAATATGCTAACCAAAAATGGTTACTACCTATCGTGAATCATCAAGCTGTAGGAGTAAACCAGTCATTGCCATTTCATACAGTCGAAATTCCCATGCGTCTCAGCTTACCCAATCTTGTACATTTTTTGTTAAAGTGTAATTATGTTTACCAAAATAAGAAGTATGCCTTGCCAAGCCCGTTCCACTGACTTTTAAACCTAGTGAAGTATAAGATACAAAACCAGTTAACATTTATACTCAGGCGTTCTTTATCATTCTCACGTATTCAAAGATTGAAGTTTTAAGCTCATAAAAATAGTTTTATAAATTTCTATTTTGAGCTCTGATATGTGTCGAATGTGTTATAAATATTAGTATATTAAAATATTCCAGAACGACTCAGTAAAGAGCAAAACTTTCGAATTGTGTGGGATATACAACAATAGGTTTAATTAGTCTTACGACTAGTGTACTCATCTATTGTTCAACGAAATACAGTAATGTAGTAAGGAGTTGAAAAATAATAACAACGCAATTAAAAAAATGCAAGATATTTTGAGTACTTTAGAACACGTATATGTATGTACAAGTTCGTTTTCTTGATAATTACGTATATTATCATCCCACCAATAATGTTACAGTTCATGAGACTAGTAACAGTAAAAGTGAAGGCTCAAAAGACAGAAAAGTTACCCAATAACTTTTAAATGAATAGATACTGTTGATTTTTCATATTGATTATCCATTTTATTGTTTTTCCTTTGTTGAATTGGATATAATTCAATGATTTTACATTCTAATAAAAATTAAATTGTATATGCAGCGGGTGTGTGATATAAATTGTTTTTACCTACATCGTACATAAATTGTACATTTTACGTTAACTGCATTATAATATGTACAAGTTCGTTTTTGAACTAGAAAATTTCCATTCCAATTGATTTGCTTGTCATGCAATAAAGATGTAATGTAATAATAAAAAATAAAAAACATTTACTTACCAATATGTAAATACAGTGTGTACAAATAAATCCAAGAACTATAGTTCCTAGTGACCCGACTGCTAGACCAGCGTTTTTAAACGCAGCCGGCATTGCCAGAATTCCTGATCCCAACGATGATTTAAGAAGGTGTACCATGGATCCCATTGTTCTGAAAATAGAAAATTGACATTAAAAATAAGAATCGGCCTTCTAAAATAGTATTTTATCATCGAAAATACGCATTATAAAGTATTGTAATACCTATTTGGGCTATAAGTAACAAATTTAAAATAAAAGTACACTTTTGTATAAAAATATATACTTGAACGGCGTCTTCATTCTTTTTATTTTATTTTAATTTTTTAATAAGTTATTTTAATTTATTTATTTATTTTAATAATTTATTAAAAACAAATAAATCATTTCCTCAAAAAACGTAATATATACTAACTACCGATATTTATACCGATGCCAATGACCACTCGATGGCATCTCAATAGCGTGTCAGTGGTATGACACTGGCTTGGCGTAATAGCAGAATTGAGGCCCTGATCTTGTTCCGAAAGTCAATAGCAATAATGCCCTATATTGTAACTTTGCTAAATTGCTTGTCACTTTATATATACAGCTTTATATTGGAAACATCTGATCATTTATTATTATTATTTAATATTCTTACGTTAATACTAATTGATGATTCTATTACTATTTTTATGTGAAAGTTTTGGCTGAACAGTTTTGATGAAATTTGGCATACAGACGGATTAAAGTCTGGAATAGCATTTAAGTTCCTCCCTTCCTGGCAAAGTTGATTTACTGCATCGACATTGAGGTGACCGAAAAAGCCGGTAAAGAGCCTGTGTATTTATAAAATAAATATAGAAGTTGCAAATAATAATAATCTGCATCTAGCAAAGCAAATTAAATTCTTGTCACACACTGTACTGCCAGATATAGTTTGATTAGTTTTCACTTTGTTATAAATAAGCATGTGTATAAAATTTTTATATATGGCCGTGTTCTTTGGATTGTTTCTACATGTATGTATTTACCAAAAAAAAAAAAAGTATCTTAGAATGTTTACCCGTGTTCTTAAACTTTCAGTATAATCCAAGTTTGACCCTAACTGACCTGAAGTATTCGGTCATACGGAGATACCTACCAGAATTATTATTGGACTTGACTTGGACTTTTTGTCGTTATTGCCTCATGATATTAAGTCCAACCTTGTACAACATGTGTATTAAGTTTTAAATAAAATATTATTTCAACAATGCAACAAACTTAAATATAAAAAGCAACACTAATATTTTTTGGCTCAAAAATTATAATTCCTTGATAATGAATCATAAATTGAAACCATCGGGAGACGCACTCAATCATTCTAAAAAGTATTGGCTATAAAGTGAAAAAAAATAATTTAGAGCCCGGTTACAACGCCACCTACCGGGTCCAAGCGGGAATCTAAACCATCTAAGCTACAGAAGTGATTCAGAAGAAGAACTATTATACATAATACTCGTACTATATTATGTTCGCCATAAAATTTATTTAAAATGTAACTGTCTATTTCTACATTGCAAACAAAAAAGTAATATTAAAAGTTAGTGACATTAGCTTAGTTACTTACGAATTTGGGTGTTCCACGTTTCTATGTTCAAATGGATCGTAGGCTTTTTCATTAATCACTTCTTTTGATCCCAAGCTCAATGTAGATTGAAAGCCTGGATGCCCAGTCAGATTTGCGCTGAAAATTTAAAGAAACATTAATAATTCAATCACAAGAATAATTTTCAATTTTTGAGTGAACACTCTGTATATTTAAAATATATATAGTTATCTTCCTCCGAGCCTTTTTCCCAAACTAGGTAGGGATCGACTTTTATTCTACTACGACAGGACTGAATTTCGATTTTTTATATGGAACGACTGTCATCAGACCTCCACAGCCCATGTAAGTCATCATCATCATCATCATCAACAGCCTTTAATAGTCCACTGCTGGACATAAGCCTCTCCTTAGAAAGGAGGTTTCGGCCTACTATGCCACGCTGGCTAGACGGGTTGGTATAGGGTTTGGTATTTTCCTTTAGTCGTCTCTTACGACACCCACGGGATGAATAGGGGTGGTGAAATTCTGTGTTCTTAATCCGTCACCACACGGTCAACGGACATGAAAGTAAGGAACGTAAGTGGGACTAAACTATTTGGACGTAAGACGGAGCGTGGGTAGGTGCCCTACAAGGTGGTCCTGGTGAAGGTCGCAGGAAGCCATCGCATGCAGGCAGCAAAGCACCGCAAAAGAACTTTGGGGAGGCCTATGTCTTTCAGGGGATGTCTTTCGGCTGAGTTTAAATGCTTCTACCTCCTTTATATAGGGACAGTTATGTAAATTTATGAACCATGAACTCGTATAACTTATTCATCAAGTTACTCAGCTAAATTCGTACATTTCTTTTCCGATACTGGTACTGTATATACCACAAATCGTTGCGACACTTTTGAGAAAACACTTAGTAATATTGCTACTGTTCAAAATCATTTAAAGGATAATATTTGCATAAGGAAGGTATATGATTACAATTTATAGTTATTTTTAAGACGAAGTTTTAGTTACAAAGGAAACATTATATCCTTCAGGAATTAAACGGTATTTTTGAAGGTTGTTTATCACAATCGCAAGCAACATGAGCGCTGTTCTAACCGTTATCAGTTTATAAAAATATTTAATTTAATAAATAGTCATGTTATTATTTTCACAACACGTTCCTAAGAATGATAGTGGAGCGCAGGGCTAACTTTCAAATATCTGTGTCAAGACCGAACCTTAAACATGAACGGAACAGTGACAGGGTTAGACAAAGAAAAGAATCCTGCTTAGTTTGCTTTGTGTAAGCTGAATATCTATCTTACCCTCTTTTGAAACCCTAAGAATGCAGATGTCTACAAAACGGTTAATTTGAATTCCAAGTGCCAACTTAGTTGAGAATTGTTTTTTTCCTTTGACGAAGTTACTTTGGTTTTCATGTGTAAAATAATACACTTAGTGAGTAGTAAGCTTTATTTTGAATGTACTTACACACATACATAAATGCGCGCACGCACTCGCACGCATTTCTATGTATTATAATAAAAACACCACCTGATGATCCGAAATACAAGTTTTGCCTAGTTTTGTCACTATATCTCTACAATTTATCTAAGCACTATAGTACTTTTAATTCATCATCATCATCAACAGCCTTTAATAATCCACTTCTGGACATAGGCCTCTCCTTAGAAACGAGGTTTTGGCCTACTATACCACGCTGGCCAGATGGGTTGGTATAGGGTTTGTGTGTATCTACGAGGGCGTCTCCCCCCCGGGCTGGGTGGAATCTGCTACGCGGATGACACCTTGCTCACGGCCCGGGGGGCTAACTTCCAGGAGGCGGCGCGCCTGGCCGCCACGGGAGTTTCCCTGGTGGTCGGGCGCATTGAGGCGTTGGGTTGCGGGTCGCCCTGGATAAGACGGAGGCCCTATTATTTCATGGGCCCCGTCGTGGTCCACCCGCCGGCGCCTCAATCGAGGTCGGCTCGGTCCTCGTACCGGTCCGGGCCCAGATGAGGTACCTGGGTCTGGTCCTAGACGGTAGGTGGCTCATCGACGAGCACTTCCGACAGCTTGGTCCGAAGCTGGTGGACACTGCCTCCGCCCTAGGGCGACTTTTGCCCAATTTGGGCGGGGCAAGTGTTCCCACGAGGCGGCTGTACGTGGGGGTTGTCCGGTCCATGGCGCTTTATGGTGCACCGGTGTGGGTGGCGGCTCTGACCGCCACGAATAGGGCGCGCCTCTGGCGCCCCCAGAGGATATTGGCGGTCAGAGCCATACGCGGATACCGCACGGTGTCCACCGAGGCGGCTTGCGCCTTGGTCCGCGTGTGCCGGACGCCGCCTAAAGAGAGGGTCCACTGAGACGGAGCCCGCATCAGGAGCGGGCCGGCGCTGGGAGGGGTCCAGAAGGAGATAGCTACCTGGACCCTTCCTAAACTGGAAGCGCAAAGAGGGCACACCGTGTGGTTTTAGTCGGTTCGAGTCCGACACACCGCCCCGCCGAACGAGAGCCCCGGCGGGGTGACGGTCCGAGGGGATTTCCACACGTAAAAAAAAAAAAAAAAGGGTGTGTGTGTGCGACAAAAGCTCCGCGCGTCGGGCCCCCCCCTTACGGAGACTCTCCAGCCCAGCTTCCTGCGAGAAGTGGTTGAGGGCCTTTTCCCACAACGAGCGGAACACACTCCCCCGTCGATGGCCTCCCTGGCCGGAGACGACGGGGAGCACGGGGAGGATAATGTTCCGCCCGTCCGGGATTCGGAGGTAGGGGCGGCTGTTCTACGGCCCGAGTGCTGGCCCTGGCCCTCAACCACATGGCAGACCGCCTCGGGGAGGTGTTCGACGCTAGCTTGGCGTCGGGACGCTTCCCTGAGTGCTGGAAGAGCGGGAAGCTGGTCCTATTGAGGAAGCCGGGACGGCCTGCCGATTCGGTCGCGGCCTATAGGCCCATCGTGCTGCTGGACGAGGCGGGCAAATTGTTTGAGAGGGTTCTTTCTGCCCGCATCGTCCGGCACCTCTGCGAGGTGGGCCCCGATCTGTCGGACGCCCAATTTGGTTTTCGGGCGGGGCGGTCGACAGTCGACGCCGTGTTGCGCCTGAGGACCGTGACCGAAGAGGCCGTGAGCTGTGGCGGCGTGCTTTTGGCGGTGTCACTGGACATCGCCAACGCATTTAATAGTCTGCCATTCAGCTGCATCAGGGAAGCACTCCACTATCATGGGGTGCCAAAGTACCTGAGGCGGCTAGTGGCAGACTATTTAGAGGAGCGTACCGTCGTGTACGAGGACCGAGAAAGTAATCTGAGGTGTCGGCCCATGTCGTGCGGTGTTCCACAGGGGTCTGTTCTTGGACCCCTCTTGTGGAACATAGGGTACGACTGGGCCCTTCGCGCCGATTTCCCCCCCGGGCTGGGTGTAATCTGTTACGCAGACGATACCCTGGTGACAGCCCGGGGGGCAAACTTCCAAGAGGCGGCGCGCCTGGCCACAGGGGGAGTCTCCCTGGTGGTCGGGCGCATTGAGGCGCTGGGCTTACGGGTGGCCCTAGATAAGATGGAGGCCCTGTTATGGGCCCCGTCGTGGTCCACCCCCTGGCGCCTCAATTGTGGTCAACTCGGTCCTCGTACCGGTTCGGGCCCAGATGAAATATCTGGGCCTGATCCTCGACGGGAGGTGGCTCTTCGACGAGCACTTCCGACAGCTTGCTCCAAAGCTGGTCGGCGCTGCGTCTGCCCTAGGGCGACTTTTGCCCAATATGGGTGGACCCAGCGTCGCGACAAGACGGCTGTACACGGGGGTTGTCCGGTCAATGGCACTGTACGGTGCACCGGTGTGGGCGGCGGCTCTGACCGCCCAGAATAGGGTACGCCTCTGGCGCCCTCAGAGGGTAATGGCGGTCAGAGCCATACGCGGTTACCGCACCGTTTCGACGGAGGTGGCATGCGCGTTGGCCGGAACTCCCCCGTGGGATTTGGAGGCGGAAGTGCTCGCCGAAGTTTATCGGCGAGTGGCTGACTCCCGGGCGGAGAGCGGATTTCGCCCTCCGCCCGAGGATGTGCGCGAGTGGCGCGAAGCCGCTCGCCGAGCCACGATGGCTCGTTGGTCGTTCCGGCTGGAGACTCCACGCGCTGGCTTTGCCGCCGTGGAGGCTCTCCAGCCGGTCATCGCCGAGTGGGCAGGGCGGCAGCACTGGACCCTTTCCTTCCGGCTGACGCAGGTGCTTTCCGGGCACGGTTGCTTCGGAAAGTACCTGCACTCGGTCGCTAGGAGGGAACTGAGTCCCGCCTGCCACCACTGCGACTGCAGTGAGGACTCGGCCCAGCACACGCTGGCGGTCTGCCCCGCATGGGCGGCGCAGCGCCGGGCCCTCACTGCAGTCATCGGAGTGGATCTCTCGCTACCGGCCGTAGTACGCTCCATGGCCGGTAGCGACAGTTGTTTTACCGCGGTCGCAACCTTCTGCGAGGTAGTAATCTCGCGGAAGGAGGCGGCGGAGAGGGCCCGGGAGGACGACCTCCACTCGGACCCGATCCGCCGCCGGCGAACCGGGCGGCGGAGGCCCGCCTATCACAGCCTCATGCCGCCCTGAGTGTGGCCGCGAGGGGGCGGCGTCCGCGTGTGCCGGACGTCGCCTAAAGAGAGGGAAAAAAATACATTGAGACGGAGCCCGCACCAGGAGCGGGCTGGCGCTAGGAGGGGTCCGGATGTCTTAACGACAGCTGTTCCCGGATCCCTCCTGTTACAGGCGCATAGTGGCACACCGTGGTTTTAGTCGGTCCGAGTCCGACACACCACCCCGCCGCAAACCCCGGAGGGGTGACGGTCCGAGGGGATTTCCACACGTTAAAAAAAAAAAAAAAAAAAAGGGTTTGTGTCAAGTTTTCGTCCTTTTTGCAGTGCTGTTGACCGGCGTAGTTTGCTCCCTTAGTCGACTTACGACACCCAAGGGATGAATAGGGGTGGTGACATTCCGTATTCTTAATCCATCACCACACGGATAGTTAAGTAATAAAGTAAGTAAATAGTTTAGGTATTTGGTATTAAATATATTTTATACTATAAAGAAAAACTTTTGCCACATTGTTGAGCAAAATTTTTGAAAAGCTTAAAATCTTAAGATTAATGGCCTGCCGAACTACTTACGTCGAATTAAAATTTTCCATTACAATGCTCCCCTTTTTTTCCTCCATCTTGAAAACTTTCTGTAACAAAAAGATTTATTTCAGATATCTAAAACAGGATGAAATTTATTTGTAATGATAATATATTTATTAAGATGTGTTTTTGTAAGTGAAGCGTGAGTTCTGAACATGCAAATAGTTTGTTTAGAGTGTCTGTCCCTCCTGTTAGGACGTGATTGTTGACTTGAGTACAATAAATGTATTACAATCTAAATGTTCTGAGAAGACAATAATAATATATCTGATGTTTAACCTTTTACTACACGGATGGCGTAGTGGTTTATGTGGTCGCCACGACGACGCTTACTACTACGCTGAGTGTTGTTGATCCGATCCCCACATGGGACGACACTTTGTGTGATCCACAAATTGTTGTTCTGAGTCTGGGTGTTCTTTGTGTATGTTTGTAAAGTCCCCAACAACACAGGATATATTCCTAATACGTTATCTTTTAAAAAAGAAAAAAAAAAAGAATTCTTTGGTATTTATCCGCAAATCCATAAAAATTAAATGGCTTCTTCTACGCATGAAAACAAAGTCCTTCATTTCTTATAAATATGTAAATAGATTTTAAACCATACTTTTTAGCATAATCAAAGTAATGTTTTAATTTATTGTCCTCGAAACTATATAATCTTCTTTAGCTGTTACTTATAAAACTTCACAACTTTTAATTTGTTAATGTATCTTTTTTAGAAGCACTGATATAATCATTTATAGGGACATAGTTGCACGGTTGCACTTCAGTTCGTAAGGAAAAAAAGCCCATTTTTACGTCAAAACTTTCGTCTCCCAATTGATGTGGACCACGAAGATAGCAACTGCACGTAATTTCACACAGTATCTTCGACGCGTATATAATCAGTACAAGTTTGCCCTTAACTGCGACGAGTCAAAATGTTACCAAGATTTGCGGTTGCTGGAAGTGTTATCTCAAAATTGAACTTTACTCACAATACCACAGTTTCATTGATTGTTCAATTTGCGTTAAGGAAATAACTTTCTTTTTTGAGCTATTTGCTATTTGTGTGTACAATAACTTGGAGGTTGGAGAAACTCTGAAGTGTATTTTTGTTAAATATGATTTATTACATTCAAATGTATGTATTAATGTGCTATAGGAGAGGCCTATGTTCAGCAGTGGATCGCGATAGGCTGATGATGATGAAGATGAAGTTACATGATATTTGTAATGGTAAACGATACAAACATGTGTTTGTTCTTATGATATTGAAATAAATGAGTAAACAGGTCACAGGTTTAGATAATTATTACAATTTTAGATTAAAAATCAATGATACAGTGCAAATGTTTAAAGTACTTACAGTGTACTTCAAAAAGTTTGAAATTGTTGATAATAACTATTACTAAAACATGTCATGTTCATGTCATCAACACAACTTTGCACTGAAAAATCTGACACTAACACGAGAATCCATACTTATATTTTAAACGTGAAAGTGAGTTTGTTTGTTTGTTACGCTTTGACGCCTAAACCACTAACCTGATTTAAAAAATCTTTAATTAATGAAAAGCTACATTATTAGAGAGTAACATAGGCTACTTTTTACAGCGATTACCAACATACACGCAGGCAGAACTGTTCCAAAAGCTAGTTATAGGATAATTATCTCTTGTAAGCCCCAAAGCCACATCCAGTGCCTTTACCATCACAAATTGCATAAGCGGTATGATAAATGAACTCAACTTTTTGCCAGCATAAACATTTGGAAACGGGCCCTCATTATATTTTTTAGCGAAAACCGGACAACTGAATAATTGGGAATCGGCATTTCGGGCCAAGGGAATAAAAATCACGAATTCAGATGCTGTGTTTTTGTCGACTCATTGTTTAGTGAGCTGGGAGACAGGCTTCTGTTTTAAACTACAATGTTGCAATGATTGATCGTTGTAAGTGGATAACTGGACAATTTCTTTTGTACATTTTTGGCACTTATGTAGGTACTTTTTCATTAATGTTCATAATAATATATTCACTTCGAATAAGTTGTTAGGTACATGTATTATTTTGCTGTTTACGAAGGACGTTTTGTCAAAATTTATGCGATGTTTCAGTATCATATGTTTATTTATGTGGTCATCTTAGCATACACTAGTGAGTTGATTGCAATGTTGGGCAAAATTACATTTTTCTTACATCATCATCATCATCATCATCATCAACAGCCTTTACTAGTCCACTGCTGGACATAGGCCTCTCCTTAGGAACGAGGTTTTGGCCTACTATACCACGCTGGCCAGACGGGTTGGTATAGGGTTTGTTTCAAGTTTTTCTTCTTCTCTCTTCTTTTCTTTTTTCTTACATAGTGATTAGTAAATAATTATTCGTTAGTTGTAACTCTGACTACTGGTTAGCAAATAAATTATTCTAGATTGTCTACTACTACCATGAACGTTGATTTCGATGGTCGATTGTTATAGATTGTTTATCTGTTGCACAGACTTTTTCAAGTTAACGTCTGCTTAGTATAAAATTATTCAGTATTACGACTTAGTTGCGAAGTTTTTTTGGGTTTGCAGAAATGCATAAGTATGTAGGTAGAAGATTGCGTGCGTTTATGATGCGGGCAGGCTCCGAACGACGTAACTGGTTACATCGCATCGTCAGGATACGAAAGAAGGACCCGTGACGTGCGAGCATGTATGAAGTGATGAATGTGGAAGAGGCCTAGCTGTATGTCAGGATTAAAAAAATAGTGCTCTATTTTTTTTAAGATAACTTCCGACCTAGGAAAACATTACAGACATTCATGAAACGGACACAAAGAATATCCAGACTCAGAACAGCAATTGGTGGTTCACAGAAACTGTTGTCCCAGGTGGCAATCTAACCAACAACACTCAGCGATGTAGGAAGCCGCGAGGTGACCGCCTAAAAACTATTGCGTTTCTGCCTGCCTTGCCCTGATAGATCGTCGGAGCAAGCAAGGTGATGACTGGTTCAGCGGTTGACAGCCGTTCGTGAGATCATTGCTACGTACATTCAATTTTTAGCGAATGCCTGATAAAAATCGCAAAGTGACAGTGAGTGGAGTAGATAGACGAGGAAAGAGAGAGAAAGAGAGCGAATCGACTGAAATCGGTAGACTTATATATCCAAGTACGAATGAGATAAAAATAACAAAGACTGACCTCTGGAAGATGTTACTGAGCTTACATAAACAGAAAAGGCTCAGTGCAATTAAATCGAGACATCAGGTAATCAACCCATGGTACCTTGTAATCATTACCGACATTAAGTTTCGTTTTGTTTATTTAAATAAATTAAATAACAGCAATAATTTTCATTGCGCGATGCAGAATCGGTAGTTACAAATAAATTCTGCTGGCCTTCGGTAGATGGCCCTAAAATCTGTGTTCCTACCTGTATGAGGATGTCACGATAAAAATGTTAAATTGACACTCCAAACGAGACTGCTATAATATTATGAATATTTATTTATAGTGGTAGGTAATGTCGTAATCGGTGCCAGAAGGCCGTTGACACAGTTGCATTTGTTACCAGCGTTTAGCATGCACGTAATTGTCTCAAAAACCTTGAAAGAGATCTGCGTAATCTACTTAGATTATTCTGATAGCTGTTCGGTTGCTATTCTAATTAATTGTAGTACTCACCCAGTCCTATATACACATAAATAATTAACATTTATCTTTTTGGTGTTTTTTTTACAAACTCAACACTTTTTACCTAAATAATACGATAGCGGTTTTGTTTTGTATTTACGAGCGCAATGTTATATTAAAATGTGTAAAACCTCCTTTTTTCCATTTGCCCGCAGTTTCAGTTGTGTTGATATATGTATATTATTCACTAACAGTACTTCTTCTAAATGAAAGATACTATGTTTTAGGTGTTTCAATAATTAACTTTGGATATCTTTATGAAAATAGTCAAAGAACTTAACATCTTAATTTATATAAAACATTATAATATTCTATCTGTTGAGTTCCACTGTAATATAGTTTCGGACATTTCGGGCATCTGACGAATGACGCCATCTAGTTTTAAACTAAGCAGGGCTTGTAATATGAAAGCTAGATTGACTAATAGAATTAGTTATACGTTTATTTATGCAAATACTATACATAGTAAACAAATATTTGCAGATTATACAAACATTTGGTCCGAGCCGTTAATCGAACCCGAGACCTCAGCACAGCAGTTGCATACGCTACCACGGTGGTGCCGAGGCAGTTATATAGATGTGTATAATATGTGTAAATGTTTTTTTACAGACTATAATAATATGACAGACTATACATCATCAACAGCCTTTAAAAGTCCACATGTGTATGTGGTTCAGAATTCCGGCGCATAGAAACATACACAACACAAGCTAGAGATTTTTCGGACAACTTTTCTTTACGTCTAGTTCTCTATTTGACTAATGACACTGGTTCATAAAAATACTTGACTCGACACAGCAACTTCGGGTACCGTACATTTAACACTTTCGTAGTTGTACTCCGTAAAATTATTATCATTCGAAGTGGAAATAAGTCGTTTTAATAACCATATATAGTCATATTGTATAGGATAGATCTTGTTACCATCGAACAAAACAGTGAATAAACATTTGAACAGTGAGTTTTTCTATAATTCAACTAAAACATTTGAAGTGAACAGTAAGCCACCGACATTATAAGTGAACGCTGAGTGATTCGCTAAAACGCGTAAGTGACGGCAAATACACGGCGCTTACGTCGTTCTTCTCGCGACCTCGCACCGACCGCCCGGACTTCGCTTGATCGCTGACGGTAACAACATATTTACAAAAATTATAATTCTGATATTCAATAAAACTACAAAATGCCGAGAGTCGAACGCTCGCCACCAGCTACTCCTACAAAAGGCAAACAGCTGGCGCTTTCTACCCCTGATATATCAGATCACGCCAGTGGAGCAGCGAGGAGTAAGCGTCTGCGCCCAGACTTCTCACCCGACACTGACTGGACTGTAGCCTTTGAAAATCGTATTATGAAACTAC